ACTTTACGGGGATAGCTGATGTCATAAGGAGTAACTTAGGATACTTTTATTTTAGAAAAATAATTAGGGTTCCGCGCCAAAAAACCAAAACCCCAAATAACACGCGGGCGAAATCGCGAGGAACAGCTAGTTAGCACATAAAATTGCAATTAAAAATTTCATTGATGTCGGCGGGGATCGAACCATGGTTGCTCGCGTACTATGAAATTTACGGCTAACCTTCTCGTGACCATAGTTAATGTTTAAAGTTACAGATATGACTCATAAGGATCAAGTGCAATGTAAAACACATGGAAACACTTACCAGAACAATACTTTTAAAAGATGAAAATAATTTATTTTCATATACATATGACAAAATTACATGATAATTCATTGGCTTAAAAATTTCAGTGGTAATTTGAAAGCACAAACTTTTTTTTTTAATATAGGCTTCTTTAAAACTCTTATAAACTTTAAAATCTATACTGTTTTGCAAAAACAAGAACCAGTGGGGAAACTCTGTTTTATTTTAAAGCCGTGTAACAATTTAATTTACAATTACAATATTTTAAATGAACACAATGTCAAAAACCAATATATATTTTAAAATGTTTAGTTTTAACAAAGGAATATCATCAATTGCTGCAAGGTTAGAACTCAAGTTGAATTCTAAGCCTGCACCAATTGATACCAATAAATAAAATTGAGGTGTCTGTTTGTAATGTCAAAATTACAGCTTTTTACTAAATGCATATGAAAGTATATACGGTACTTATAACTAAAATACATTTTTTTAAATTTTTATCCGTCTGTCTGTTTTTCCGGCTAATCTCCGAAACCGCTGGACCTATTTTGACGGGACTTTCACTGGCAGATAGCTGATGTCATAAGAAGTAACTTAGGCTACTTACATTTTAGAAAAAGAATCAGGATTCCGCGCAAAAAAAATAAAAACACTAACATGCGAGCGAAGTCGCGGGGAACAGCTAGTCAAGAAATAAAAGAAAAGAAATTCATTCTAAAAAGTTTAAAACAAGCAACTTGCCATTTTGCTACACATAATAATAAAAATAATAAATTTAATTCCCTACTAATAATTAAGGTTTAATCTATATCTATACAAATAAATAAAATTGAAGTGTCTGTAATGTTAAAATAACAGCATTTTATTAAATGCATATGACAGTATATACGGTATTTATAACAAAAAACTATTTTTTAATTTTTTATCAGTCTGCCCTTCTGGTTGTTCCGGCTAATCTCCGAAACAGCTTGACCGATTTTGACGGGACTTTCACTGGCCGATAGCTAATGTTGTAAGGAGTAACTGATACTTTTATTTTAGAAAAAAAAAATCAGGATTCCACGCCTAAAAATCAGGGTTGGCTGATTTAAATCAGACTGATTTAAATCATGATTTAAATCACGATTTAAATCGCCTGATTTTGATTAAAAAAATCATTGATTTAAATCAACATGTATAAATTGAAATAAAACTGGCTTAAATAAAGTAAAATCTTTTGTTGTTTTATGTTATTCTTATTATTCTACTACAATAGTCTCATAAACTTTGGAAAATCAACAAAGACGTAGCGATGAGATCTGTCAGTTTTAAAATCAATTTTTTTTTTATGAATTCACTCTTAATATGTATATGAACTGTAATTAATACAGTATGTATTAATTATTTTACTCTTAATCAGTTTCATACATATCTATACAAATAAATAAAATTGAAGTGTCTGTTTGTAATGTCAAAATTAAGGCTTTTTACTAAATGCATATGAAAGTATATATATACGACGATGCGTATAACAAAAATACATTTTTTTAAATTTTTATCTGTCTGTCTGTCTATTTGTTCCGGATAATCTTTGAAACGGCTGGATCGATTTTGACGGGACTTTCACTGGCAGATAGCTGATGTCATAAGGAGTAACCTAGGCTACATTTATTTTAGAAAAAGAATTAGGGTTCCGTGCAAAAAAACTAAAACCCCAAATAACACGCAGGCGAAGTCGCGAGGAACAGCTAGTGTATTCATAAACTTTTAATCCTACTATGTTAAAAAGTGTTACCAACTTGAGTATTTCCAAATATACAAAGAAATCAAAAAATTCAAAAGAAATCAAAAAAATCATGATTTTTTTAAAAAAATCAGCATGATTTGATTAAAATTAAAAAAATCATGATTTTTTCCATCCCTGCTAAAAATTAAAAAACATGAAATTCAATCGTAAAAAATTCCACGCGGGGGTGAAGTCGCGGGAAACAGCTAGTTTTAATAATCGCATTAATGTATCCCAACTATGAATTACATAATTAATTACTCATAAAGATTACATAATTATGATGAGCAGAGATATAATAATATATATAGATAACATTCAAGCACTTAAGCATAAATTGTAATCATTGTTTATAATGAGGTCAATTAGAGAACTTCACTAAACTAAATTCATAATGTTCAATCAAAGACAATGACATTAAATAGTAGGTAATGTTTATGATTACTGTGCTCTAAAGCTTAAAAATGACATGTATGTGTTTTTCATTTCCATTGTTATTTAAATTTTGCACATAAGTACTAATTAACTTTTTTCTTATTTATCATACTAGCTGTTCCTCGCGACTTCACCCGCGTGTTATTTGGGGTTTTAATTTTTATGCGCGGAACCTAAGTTACTCCTTGTGACATCAGCTATCTGCCAGTGAAAATCCCGTCGAAATCGGTCCAGTCGTTTCGGAGATTAGCCGGAACAAACAAACAGACGGACAGACAAATACTTTAAAAATTGTATATGCTTACATCTGCATTTAGTAAAATGCTGTAATTTTGACATTACAAACAGACACTTCAATTTTATTTATTGGTATAGATTTACTGCTCACTACAAACATTTTGATTTTACTATTGTATAATGTCCATGTCAATTTGAAAGTCCAAACTTTTATTATATATATACATATTTCTTTAGAATCGTGTTGTCACACGAAATATGTATTTACCCCAAGAGAACTTCATTGTTTTATTTATTTTTCAAAAACTATGCAGTTCCACACCCTCCTTTTCACCTCCTTTCCACATCCAGCAGGGGATGGAGGAAGAATGTAACTATATCCAGGGAGAATGGGGTTCCCTTATACCCCTATAACCTCTACCACCCTTAAATCCATTGTGTGGTATAATAGGACATTACTTACATTTTTATTATTTAAAAAAAAAATTAAAACAAACTTCAAATTGCAAAAAAAGAAGTTATTTATTTGCTACCCTTAGGGGTGAAATATTTTCTCCAAATTTATATAGGACCACTCTAGAAGTATAACCTATTTAATAAAAAAAGAATCATCAAAATTGGTTTACAATCGGACATGGTTAAACAAAATGGATCCAACCTGAGTTTGTGTCAAAAATGTTGACTAGAAAAATAATGTTTGTGGTCTATACTATTATGTGATGTAGCAATTTTAGCAAAGGTAACACAAATAAGAAGAAAAATTACAAACAGACAGAAATCATACCGATAATTTGTGTTTATGATATTTGAAGTATGGATACATCAAATATCATAAACTCAAATTAACTTATCGCGGTTTAGATCCTTTTTGCATAACTACGTCCAATCTACAAAAAAATGACATTTGATTTGAGAACTTCCTTCTTTTTGAAGTTGGTTAATAACCAAAAATGTGTTTTAAACTTAAGAAAATAAATTAATAGTATTTGTATTTTAAATATGAAATGCAAAGCTACAAAAGTTTACAACCACATTAAATTATATTTATTATCTGTCTTATCATATATTTAGTGATTTTGTAAATATTAGTGTATTATGTTGTAATTTTTTTTTTCTTTAAAAAAATATGTTACCCCCACACTAGGATTTTCTCCTGTGTCGTGGAGGCAGTTTACAAACATAAATTGCACAAGGACAAACATCCAAACCCGGAACAATTATTTGTAGGCCATACAAATACTTGTTCCGTGCGGGATTCGAAACCCGCGGCCCCCAGCGCAACAAATGATTGCTAAGCCACTGCGCGACGGAGCCGTCATAATATTATTTATAATAGTTTATATAATATATTATTAGCATGTAAGTTTTATATAATATATGCCACCACCCACTCTCCAATAGTCCAATTTTTCCTTAACCTTAAGGTTGCCTGGAAGAGATTGATCTTTAGCAACATACCACCTCATTGTACCTATCTACTAACTCTTTTCTTCCTGTAATCTGTGTTTTTTATGTGTATTGTAGTATACAATAAAGTATATAAAATCAATTATTACAATCAGTCACTTCTTACACCAAGCATTATAGTTCTATAGTTATACTGTGGCAGCTTACCCAGCCAATAATAATTGCAACTATGGCAAATATCCCAACAGTGTGACAGCCCCCAATGGGGGATACCTATATTCAGCAGTGGGGAAGGGATACCTATATCACAACAATCTTACAGTAATAAATTATTCATTTATGAAAAGAGAATGAATGAATATACCATTCAAGAAACTAAGTTATACTTTGATATATTGTTTACATTAAGGCCAAATTTTTCTTACTTCATCCAATAAGCAGAAAAGTATTTTTCTTTATTATCAGAATTTATGAATTAGGCAAACATAAATATATTCAAAAAGTGATAATTGAAACCCCACTTACAAATAGATAGAAAAGAAACAAACCGAGCTGTGGCAATGTAAGTATATCCCCTACCCTAAATCATCCCGTGGGTGTCGTAAGAGGCTACAGAGGGAAACAAATCAGGAGATGGGGAGCAACAGCTTCCTAATAATGAATAAAAATAAAAAAACTGAAGTTGCCAACCATGTTTGCCGAGCGTGGCAACTATGACAAATATCCCCCCCCCCCCCATGAGGCAATCTATGGGGGAGGCCTATGTTCAACAGTGGGCTATAATAAGCTGTAACAGTAATAAACAAACAAACTAATGGCTTATTGTTTTGAGTAATAATTGTGGTAATTATTATTATATAGTAAACTTACTTTGACAGATAGGAAGGCAATTATAAGTGCGGCAACATCACTTAGCATATGGAATGAGTCAGCAACAAGTGCCATTGAATTGGTCACATAGCCCACAATCAACTCCACAAAGAAAAATGTGCCAGTCAACCATAGCATTGACAGCAACCTGCATTTTTTTCCACCAAATTTCCCCATTATATCTGTTGGAAAAAAAATAAAAGAGTTTATTTAATCTCACTAATAACCAAATCATGTAACATGTGAAAATTGCTTTCATTGAGACTTTTAGGTTTAGTAAGTAATTATTTTATAAGAGTAAAAACCATTGGGTATAAAATTAATGAATTTAATTTATTAAGTAACGGATTTAGCATTCTAATAGAACGCTAAGTTTTAATCATACTTTTTAAAAGTAAAACATAACTAAAATTGCAAACATAAACCATATTTTGAAAGAAAAAAAAGCAAACAATGCGTACCACATGGTAAGCAACATGAAAAAAAATTGAGCAACTATTGCTATAAGCAACAATTGATTTAATATTAATAATTTGCAAAAGGCATTAAGTCTACCCTTTGTAATTCTTTTATTATAGTATACAATAAAGTGTACATGAATAAAATAGCCTAAATGCTAAGGGTATAGATAACAAGCTTAAACTGTCTTAATACACATGTGGTTTATTGGTGGTCCAGGTTAGAATTCTTTGTCATGAAAGCAGTCCCTTAGTTGCTGTGCCACAGTCTTCAGACCATGCTGTGAAATCCCATACTATGAATAATGTACATTTTAGTTCCCATATTTTCCACACACCTTCTTTATTGAAACAGTCTCTAAACCTGATACTAATTACAAACTATATGATGTAATAAAACAGATTAAGTTTTTGATCCAAATCCACAATTTGTGTACTGTCATTAATACTCATTTTATAAGCAATTTTAAGACTACAGGAATATTAGTAGTACAATATCATGTTTATCCCATTTTGTTCCCTGGGTAAGGATAGATTCTCTGTCAAGCCTGATGCAAAATACACATATTGGCAATGAGAAACTTCATCAAGTGTAACACGATTGTCTAGTCACCCATCCACCTGCCAGTGGTGTTCACCAAAGGGCGTGATTACGAAATATTTAGGTAAGTGGCAAATCCTCCCAAACAGTGGGAGAAGCTTATGATCAGCAGAGAACTTTTATGATCCGATAAAGAACGTAATATTCTTACATCAAACAAAGCAAGAAACTAAAATTTCTATATTTAAAAAGCGAGTATTTCTAACTCTTGTATGTTAAGCAATATAATATAATATATACTCACATAACTATTAAAAGACTTTGAAATAATTCCAAGGGTTATAACAGCAATCCGTATCCATCAAGAATTCATGGGTCAACAAGTACACGAATAATGCACATTTATTTGACGGCTACACACCGATACCAAATTACAATATTGATTCAACACCTTTTTCTGGACACGAGCTCCAATTACCTCCGATAGCTGGTAAGGTAAACATTTAACAAAGTTACGTAAATTGAAAACAAAACCTTTTTACTCTTAATTGAAAAATTCTCTACTTAAAAATGCGATAAAATGTCTCACTTGAAAGTAATCGACATACAAGATTTAATACAATGCTTTTTGTACACAATAAAACAATTGATTTTGATTTTTCGAGTAAGTTTTAAAAAATAACAATATTTCAAAGCATAATTATTAAAACTGTGATGAATTTAATTCCCGTTCCCATTCCAGCTAAAACTAAACTAAATCAAAATCACTGTAATAATCGCATAAGCTCGATTCGATTCCGATTCGATTTCGACCACAATATATGAATACAAAAGTCATACAAAAGTACTCTGTGGTCTATAATCTATACAAACTGTCAAAAACAAATCAAAGACATGAGAATTAGATACAAGTGAGGCGAATTTATCGTAACAAGAAAAAAACAGGTTTTTAAAAATAGCAGATTCTAACTGTTTGTCTAAACACGAATAACTGTTTCCGTTCCACGTGCAACTAATGTTCGAAAAAATATCTGAAACAGTTTGGAACAAGTTTTCTATGTTCTTGTCTTGCTTCAAAAGGTTACCTAAGATAAAAAGAAAAGACATGTAACACTTGTTTCAGTGAAATGCCTGTTTTCACATTTGGATATAAACAAATATTTTGATATTATAATTTAACCAGTGAAATTAACAACTGATGCAATCATCATCATCATTACGGCTTATCACAAGTCCACTGAACATAGGTCTCGCCCAAGAATTTCTATAAAGCAATATTTTTGCTTAATCAAGATATAGCCAATATAACAGGAGAAAGTAAAGCTATCTAATAACGATAGTAAACAATACTTGAGGAAAAAAAATAATGTCTTTTTTTTCTTCTTTTAATTCATGGCTTGTCTTGATAAAATTCTGCTAATATGCAGTAATTTAAATTTAATCAATTAATGATTCAATTTATTGTACAAACCTCAGAGTAAAATGTATATAATAATTGTAAGGTGCGCGAAATCTAACACTTATTTCATCATCATCATTATTACAGCCTTTCATAAGTCCACTGCTGAACATAGGCCTCCCCCAAGGAATGCCACAAAGCACGGTCCTGAGCCACCTGCATCCGTCGACTTCCTGCATGTCTTACCAGGTCGTCACTCCATCTCATGGGGGGTCGCCTTACACTTCGCCTACCGGTACGAGGCTGCCACTTAAGAACCTTTCTTCCCCAACGGTTGTCGGTTCTTCGAGCTATATGGCCGGCCCACTGCCATTTCAGCTTACTAATCCGCTAGGCTATGTCGATTACTCTGGTTCTACTGCGGATATACTCATTTATAAGTTTATCACGCAGAGAAACCCCGAGCATAGCCCTCTCCATAGCTCGCTGAGCGACCTTGAGCTTCCTCATACGGCCAGCAGTGAAGGACCACGTCTCAGATCCGTAAGTCATCACTGGCAACACGCACTGGTTGTACAATTTCGTTTTAAGGTTTTGAGGTATGTCTGACGAGAAGATGAGTCATAGTTTCCCGAACGCTGCCCAGCCGAGTTGAATCCGTCGATTGACCTCTTGGTCGAAGTTGGACTTGCCTAGTCGGACTATTTGTCCCAGGTAAACATACTCGTCAAAAACTTCGAGCTTAGCGCTCCCAACAACTACCGGCATAGGTGTGACATGGACATTAAACATGATCTTTATTTTGTCCATGTTCATCCTAAGACCCATTCGTTGGGAGACACTATTGAGGTCATTGAGCATGGTGCTTAGGTCCTCCAGCGAACACTTATTTGATGTGCTATATTTAACGAATCTAGCGCTTTTAGTAACGCATCGTTACGTTAGCGCCATTTGGTTAGCGCTCAATGGGTATTTTGATCTGGCAGCACAGTACACCTTACAGTAATTACATACATACGTATGCCAAGAGGAACCTACACTTCTAAATAAATTGAGTCAATATACTTGTCTCGCTTTATCTAATTTAATGTTCAAATAAGGCAAAAAGAGACAAACTTATTGAAAGATGTTACGTGTAATTCATGCGTGGAAATAGAAATGTCAAGTGGTCATCTTTGGTCTCTTTATACTATGCCAAATATGAGAGTAAATACATTATTAACCCCTGATTTACTAGAAAAATGACATCCCTACAGAAGTAGTATTATTTGTGATGTTACTCATAGACTTAGAATATACTTGCGTATAGACGACCTGACAGCCCGAAAACGCGTGACCAATTTTGATTTGTCATAGTGTGCGTTAGCTGGCGATGTACATTTCACTTACAAGGACTATCGAAAAATGATGCTTAAGGAAGCGGTAAACAGATTTAAAAAAATGTTTAGTGCACAAAATTCAATAACTTCAAAAATTAACTGATTTTTACCATGATAGTTCCAAAATAATTAAAAATATATTCTTATACCATGTTGCTGGGAATAAGCTGAACCTAACTGCCTATTGTTGAACTTTAATTCAAATGTATAATATCCTACGTGACTTTACCCATAAACTTAAAAACTCCCCAAGAAGATCGGAAAGTTGTATTTTCAAGCTATGATCTTTGGAGAAAAATATTTACTGCCGTAGGTTCCCCGGCATTTCTTTTTCTTTAAATATTGTTAATATAAATAGGTAGATACTTAAGTAAGTATATACCTATTTATATTTTATATATTTCATAAAATTTTTTGATGGGGAATTAAAAAACAGGGTATGGAGTACATAATGATTGCTTTATTTTTCAAATAAGTATTACTTTTGATAATTACAAACATTTAATAGTTAACAATTAAATACATTATAGAAGTTTATTTTAACATTCGTCTTAAATATGAATGTAAACTTAATAATTTAAGTAAGGAAAATTGTAGGAATCAGTTAGATAAGATTGCTCTGTTTAAAGGCCAATATGTTTATGAGGCTTCATCGTCCTTCATGTTTATATTCTTTCATCTTGACCTGAAAATTATAAAGTAATAATAAATTTATTATCATTTTAGCTGCATGAATTTTAAAAACATAATGATCATAACAGAGTAAAGTGCACAACGTGTCTGAGTATGAGTATACAGATGCACTGTCTATTCTCTCAATCTCAATGTTAAGGAAATGGTCACTCATTCATGGACTGATCGCGTCAAGTGCAACTAAATCTCGCAGACTTATTGATCGGCGCTTCTCTACGAATAACGCTGTAGGGGATAAACCACACTATTTAAGCCCTCGGCACAATGTCGGCGGCCATTAAGCATGAATCAAGCGTTGTGAGTATCAAATACTATGGAATTTATACTATCGCCTCTCATTCGCGGACGTCTAGTGGTGCTTCAGGAGCATTACTAAATATCTATACCTAACTACTCTAAAAGTTTTATCATTGTGACATGGGAATATAATCCTAAGTTCCGCTATGAATATTGTACTAGTGTGACCGTGAGGCTGTGCGGTTTGTTAAGTAAGGTAATACATTTATTTTGGTTGATAAATAAATACTTAGTTGGGTTCATAACGGCTTAAGGATGTCAATCTCAAGGTTTTTTTATCTTTAATATACCATAGTTTTATAATGTATAAAACCTGTCTCTATATTTATTTAAAGTTTTGAAAGTTAAATTTTTGAAGTCTTATTATATAATAACAATATTTTACTTACTAGTACAAATAATGTAGAAATGACTCCTTTTAATAAATTGTTTTTATTTTACTTCTTCTTTTGTACTTCTTGAGTATATGTTTGCTGCAAATTGTTGAGTTTTTCTTTGGATTCCAACCAACCCAACCAATTAACCTTAACCCTTTTTTTCTAATTATAGAATCCGGAAGGAATCTGATAGACCAACGGCAAAATAAAATTATAGTTTAGAATGCAAACCGATGATTTATTTTGTTCGCCGATGCGCGATAGTTTTTTACTAGTGATCGATATGTTCGCGACGGTTTAAAGACTTTAAGCAAAAAGTGATGAATGAATATTATTTTGTATAAAAAGTGAAATTAACAACCAAATCAAGCAAATTGTATGTTAATATAGTTTTACAGTGTGTTTACAACTCTTAATATGTTTGTATACAATGTCGTTTTAATAATAGTTGAGATAAACAACTTTAAGCATTTAAGAAAAATTCGACCAATCACAGCGCGGCATATCGTAGAACTTTCTGGAAGTTTAATCAACTGCGCAATAGTTTCGTACTGAAAATAATGAGAATATTTTTGTGTTCTAAAAGAGTTGTAAATATGACATTTAGTTAGCATATGATATATAGATTACGATAGTAAAGAAAGAATTTGTATAAATAGACGCATTTGATAAATATAGAATAATTAAAGAATTAATGTACACATTTGTTATGAAAATTTGGGACATTTTGCTTAATAACTTTTTGAAATGTAAATATATTGAATAACCTTTATCATACACAGATAAAGGACCAAAATGCCTATTTAATAATGTATAGCGTGTTAATGTAAAAATTAGCCTTGTATAGAAAATATTACAATTTATGCTAATCACATAGTGAAAATGTTTAAAAATAAAGAGGCAAAACGGAAAATGGCAAGCGGCTCTCTATACAGTATAGCCGAAGTCTACCTTATGGGGGCAAATCCCAGTAAAGTTGTAGTAGGAAGAACTACCAGTGACTAGCAGTAGTATCCGGTAGTAGCTGAAGTGACTAGTAGCAGAACATAGTGTACAATAATAGTGAATTAGAAAAAGTTTAGCTAGCCGAAAAAGGTCGTAACTGAAAATCGCAGTTACACATAGCCGAAAAAAGTGGCAAGTGAAAATTCGCAGTTGCATATAGTAAAAAAAAGTTTTAGTTGAT